CTGACGGCTGATCCCAGTGGAAATAGTGTTTCCTATCGAACCTGCTTACTTTCTGTATGCTACAGTCGAGCGCTAGAGCAGCTCTTAGTGCTGGGATAAGAGTCTCCTTTTGAAAAATGGGCTGGCTACCGGGTGTAGCCAAATCAAAGAATGCAACGTGAGAATTTGGGTCATCGTTGAATGACGTAGTTGCAGGCGAGAAGAGCTTTTTGGCCGTATTTAACTGAGCATGTATCTCAATTCCTACAGTCAATTCCCAACCATCCACTACTTGGTTGCTCGCGTTCTTTTTCTTCTTCTTTCCGAGAGCTTTTTGCTTCTTAGCCTCATCTTTCAACTGTTTCCTCAAGGGAACATGAACGGGAGACGGTGTATTATTGGAGAGGGGAGAAGAAGCAGACTCAGTGTGAACATCTCGGACTCGGGAAGACCATAAGGCTGCTGACTGAATAGAAGTATGAACAGCTCTAGGGATGGTCCGTGCCTGATATTTTAAGCAGCCTCGTGTGGAAAATTGGCCATTAAACAGGTATCTGCTTAAGGTAGAGAATCGAAGTTGCGGCATATCGGATTACTCGAAATGAGTAATACCGATTGCGGATGTTATAGCTCGAGACAACGGAAGCTCGATATTCAACTTCGATATTTCGAAATTAGCATCCACTTTACCTACAGCTTATCGTACAGCGAACAGATAAGGGTCCGGGCACCTGCAGTTCTGCAAGGGATCGGCAACACTGTTTATCGGGTGAACTCGGCTAGGTATCAGCAAAGTACCTAATGTATTCCGTATCAACCTTAACAACGGCTTATGACGTTGGACGCTAAAAGAACCGTAAAGCTCCACTAAACAACCACCGAGCCAGATCTGCGGGTACATTTCTTATGGAGCTCATCCTTGTCATTCAACGCATCTTTCAGCCCAAATCATCTTCTAGCCTTCGTCATCCCACATCTCCAAATCACAAAGAAATTTGGAACATATCGAGGCAGACGTCGCAATTTGGAAAATCGAAAGCATGGCAAAACCTCTGAGGGATGGATATTGACTCAAAATGAAATTAAGGGACTGCCGACTACGGCTCGTCATCGTACCCGAGTGCGCCATGTGGCCGTGATCACTTCCAGACTCATTCGCGTCACTTACATCTCAACTAGCCAACCAATCATTTATCGCATCATATCTGGACAACTCCCATGCGACCTACCAATGTGGTGGGATCTCCTCGTTATCGTTTGGGATACCAGTGCCGCGTCGGCTAACCAACTGGGGGCCATAGGGGCTGCTCAGTATCCTTTTCTGGATATCCTGCCTTCCCATCAGAGTCTCCTTTCTTTAGCCCTTTTTTTTCATTAATATCAATCAGGTCGTCCCATAGGACCACATACCTTCTCGTAGTTCGTGGTATGTCCTCTGGCGTCGCAACATTCTACCATGACCGTTTAGCGCCGTACTCTATCATCAGCGCCTGGCCACATGTTCTTCAAGTAATCGTCTATAGCCGTTTAGTAGCCTCCTAATTCGACTCTTGGTTACCACATACCAACGTGGATATTTGTCATCATTCTGTTCGTCAAAGCTAGCGTCTCATTAGAAAATAACGTATACTTACATCGTCTTCATGGACGGTTACCTGCAGACTGACCCTGCGAGGTATGCGTGTTTCACGCTGTTTTCGCATCTTTTTCTTTTCTTCCCACCGTAGGGCCAAATCTCCGTTTCATTAAGAGTTTTCAAGAGCAAAAGCACAGTCCTGCTGATGTCGTCCACAAGACATTACCGTTCATCATCCGTCCCGGCCGCGATCGATCGAGGTACTCCTTGGCGAGCCGTTGAGCGCAACATGGCTGATAATCAGGGTCATACCCAGCCTAGTTATCCTTACCCCCCATCCACGAGGAGAAGTGTGCCTAGACGTAACACTGATATCAAACAGCCCACCCCAATCATAAGCTACGGCAATCCGAACCACGCCCATAGGAGGTTTTCGAGCGTCTTGAACGCGACTGATCCTATATCGGGTCCCGGCAAGCCGGCCACATTAACTCCCACCTTGACCGAAGAACCGGGAATTATTCAACCGGGAGTTGGTTTCGTCGCCCAAGAGGCCGCCCGTCTCAACATCGCATCGGAAAACGAATCCCTTCCTCGTTTGAACTCTCCGTCAGTCGCCTCGACGAGTTTAGCTACTGTAGCTCCGAGTGAGGCTGGATCAGGAGGCTCGGATAGGAGTGCTTCGTCAGCTACAGAAAAGCCTTTTATGAATCGGGACGCTACAGGAAAAGCGGGCTCTCGACGAAAGAGGTTCCCTAACACGCAACCTAATGCGCTCAATTTTCTGGATTCGGATTCTCCTACAGTCACGCCGGAAAGCATTCGCAGATCAATGGAAGAAGCTGCTAGTCGATCGCCAACCTCTACTCAAGGACAATCGCCCTCGATGCGTAGTGTATCCTCGGTATCGAGTAACTTTAGAGACGATACCTCAGAGCTAATTGGTGAACATGAAACCGACCGAAGCACTAGTCCAGAGCGTGGTCCTGATGCAAATAATGAGGGTCATCCGCCACCACACAACGGAATTCGACCAGCAGGAACCGAGAATAGGAAGCGTAGCTACGAGTTTCCAGAAAACCCTCGGGGAAACTCCGAGCATTCTCATGGACCACCAGGAGATTTTGCACCACGAGAGCCTAGCCGAGGCCGGCCGCAACACGCACCAAGGGCCGAGAGATTACCAGTAACAGGTTATGAGCTTCTTGCCTCAAAAATATCTACGTCTTCGTCAGATCCTGCCGGCAATCTTCGACCCATTTACCGCAGATTCGAGACATTGAATCATCGGCTGTTACTGTATCTTCAAGATGAACTTTGCGAGTTAGAAGAGCAACTTCATCGACTCGACGCGGCGGATACGCAATCTAGACGCTTGCCGAACTGCATTTTTCCGGCGTCGCGAAGAGCAGAGTATATGGCTAGCGGGGAGCTTCATTGGCATAAGGCCGATATCCTCGGTAAGATCGCTTTCAAGCTAGATCAGTACAGTAAGTTCTCTAATCATACCTCTATTATTATAATGTACAATATACTCATGCATGCTGTTATCTAGACCGTATACTATCATCATTCAAAGATACGCAGGGGATGCCGGCTCCAACTATGGAAGACATACACGAATATCGCAGCTATCTCGCAACTCATGCTCCAATCGCTGAGGTCGAGACCCGTTTCCTTGATCCAACGGATGACTTGGTATGTCCAAGTTACGAATATCAAGAAGTGATTGACGAGGATCCCATTCCAACGCCAATCCCGCATCACGACTTTCCAATTGGCGAACATAGAAGCGTATCTCCTATTCCATCCCCTATCAAGTCTCGGCCCACCTCGCCTTATCGGCAAGAGGAAATCGGTACCGAGACCGTCATCAGCATGTATGAAGAATCACCAATCGTTCCTCTATCTATAGGGATCACGGTGTCTGTAATCCTTCCGATTTTGACATTTTTAATCATACCGGGATATCTAGGAAGGCTGACAGTGGTGTTCCTGGTGGGTCTCAGTATCCTGGGGGCCCTGATCCAAGGGGGTATTGTTGCTGTCCGGACCTGGGAACTTTCTATTTGCGTTGGACTTTACGGCGCTGTAATGGCTGTTATTGCAGGAATTGTATGATGGATTGTCGTATTTGGCTGGGGCCTCGGGCTCGTAATACCTACCTAATTAACCGACACACCGACGCCCCTGAGGTTGGCGCCTGCATGATTTTAGGACAGGGACTTGTGGAATTACAACAGAATACTGGCTTCGGTGGCAACTTGTTTGTATCAGTACTCTTAACAACGAACGACAAGATATGACTTATGACTTATGGTGTTGGGTGTATCATATTGGAGGAAATGGCCGAGGCTTGAAAGCAGCTGTCATGCAATATGTGGTGTAGATCAGGCATCTCGCGAGTTTAATTAGCAACAAATCATCGGGTTTAGCTGGACGCACAGGTTATATTAATAGTGACTCTGATGGCACAAACACAAATACGCTCGGACGCAGCTTGTTATTATGTACCTAGGTAGCATGGTGTTCCAAGTAACCGTTCAGCCCCCTCTCGTTGATAACATAATCCATACTCTCTTAAGGCCTGCAAAGAATATTAACTCTGCCCGAAATATCCTAGACCTGTCGTCTAGACCTGTCGTCACGTAAATTTACCAGCCCATTCCCGACTAGGCATCACCACACATCTCGTTCAGCTGGCGCCGAAGGACAGCTATCTCGCCCCGGACCTCCCCGATTGACCTACCAAAGAACCAGCTCAGCGAGAAGAGGCCAAACGCCACAATGGAGGCGAGGACGATATCTGAGCATGGCATTTTCTTGGTTATAGTTTTTATTTTTGTTTATTTTTATTTTTAGCTTTTTGCTGCTGTTGGCAATGGTAGCGTAGTGGTGGTTGTTGGGGCTAATGTTTTGTGAGAAGCGTGTTACTGAAAGAGAAATAAATACGGGATTGCACCGGCTACGAGGAGTCAACTTTAGATTCGAGTTAGTCCCTTCACTTTGTCGTTTACTTATCTTATTGTTACAGGCTTATGGAATAAAAATTATTAAGAAAATAGGAAGCATTATGGGGAGCTAGATATGAAGAGAAAGCCCATCCCGCTGCTGGTAACAAAGTTTAAATACCCGTTGGAAAATTGAAATACAAGCACGGCAAGCTAGTAGATAATTTGCCAGCGAGTAACCCAGAAGCGACTATGGGGGACTTCCTAGCAAAGAGAGCATCGAGTAGCTACGCGATAGTAGGCAGAATGGTCTATGTAAACGTACCCGAGAAGGTATTACTAAGGCCGTGACAACTACCTACATTATTGTCATATATTCTGATGCAAACAAATACTTACGTGCATGTACGTGAGCAGTTAAAAACTAGAGATATATAGTTTTGTTAAAATGTTACCTTCTTTTTTGGCCCTTTCCCCCTTTTCTTTAAACCGTACTGAGGAACTTTAAAAACCTTAAGCCTCCTTTGATTAAGAAGTGGCCTTAAAAGTATGCAAATAACTCAGTTGCTTCGCAAAGAACTTTAACCTAAACCGCAGCATTCCGTGGCTATATACCAGAAGTATCCCCTTTAATTTAGATCCTACTAAATTTGCAAATATCAAAATTTTAGTCGCTCCCAACTTTTTCTATTCTATTATTTATGATAGACACCTCTTGCAAGACTATAAATCCTATCTCTATTTCAGCAAGAAGACTTCCCGGCCCAAGAATTACATTACTTCTGGGATATAAATCGCGACCAGCCTCTTCATAATGGACTCCCCTGAATTCCCGAGTAATTTTCGTGAGCTCGCTATTGCCATGGTTGGTGTGGCTTCGATACTCCGCCTCCTACATGACCTTGAAAATATTGCCTATTCTCGCCCAGGAAGAATAGCCTTGTGGGCCATATCTCTTGTCTTTTTCATATCCTCTCTGGTGGTGGTGGTGGGTGATGATATTGAGACGCAAAAGAGAAACCCAAAACTTGCCTTTCATGCCTATCGCCTATTGGCAAGCCTCATTGCTGTCGGTGTACATATATATCGTGCGCCCATTGACGGATCATTGGCATGGTTTCATGATTTTTCTTGGTGGCTCTGGGCTGGATACCTGGCCGGAATGACGTAAGTAATTTATGAAGTTGTTTATAATCCTTGACGGACCATGTTTTCCCTAGTCTCTACCTAATTCGACTGTACTCGGGATGTTTAACTCGTTAGTCATGTTTTAAAGCCTGTACCTCTTATTGGAATAAAAGTTACTGACTTTGTTTTCAATCCTATAGCATTGACCTTGTTTGTCGTTTCTGGACAGCCTCGCAAGAACCTGGAAGAGGCCAGGAGCCTGAAAAAGGGAGAGCCGGATAGCGGTAATCCGAGTTCGGGGAAAGGTCTTTAATGGATTCGAATTGATATACAAAGGGCAAATGATATAAGAAGGGCACTCGGATACCGGGATGGCTTATAAGGGGTTGGTCTTTTTACATGCTCGATACGTGCAGAACCCATCACAAGTACTTTTCAACTAAACATCGCCGTCGGCATTATTGCAGCGTTTTCATTCTCGTTCTGGTATATCTAAAATCGCGTTAGTATATATTGCCATAGGCTTTTATAGTTAGGGTTATATAATGGGGCAAAAAAATAAACGTCAAAAATATAAACGCGTAAAATCGCATATATTATTTTTTATCCACCCTTATTTTTTAATAATGGCTCTTATACCACCACCCAATCTTAAAAAGCTTAAAAAACACCTATTTCCTTATAAAAAAATAAAGATTAGATTTATATTTAAAGTAGGCCTTTTAGCCAAGTAAATTAAAACTATAAAAAACATTCCAACTTAAAGCCTATATTAAATAAATGCTTAATATAAAGTTTAAAAATTAATTCTTTCGCGCCTCGGCCAAAAACGCCATTATAAACTCAAATTACAAAATAAAAAGCATATTATTTAACTTATTAGTAAAAACCTTTTCGTTTTATTTTTTTAACTTTTTTTTAAAATTGGTTTAAAGGTTTATAACCGTATTATTATAACATAATTTTAAAAATAAAATATAATATATTATAAAGCGTTTCGCAAGCTAAAATTATTATAAAAATACGCTAATAAACGCCTGGCTTTTACCCGGCAACATATAAGAAAACCTTTTTTATATTAAAAACGTTAATTTTTCTTAAATAAATCAACAGTAACCTAAAATAATAACAAAAGGTAAACGTAGATATTTTATTAAAAAATATATTATTTTTCGAAATAACCCATTTAATTTCACTTATATATAATTTACCAAAATTTTAATTTTAAAACAAAAAATTACATAAAAAAATATTTAACCAAAAAATAAATTAACAAAACATTTTTAAATATTTTAAAATATATTTAAATAAAAAAACGGTTTTTATTAATTAACTTATACAGCAATTTTAATATCGAGTATATTAAAATTATAAACCTTATTATCTTAAACGTTTTATAGGAAATCCTCCCATAAATATACAAGAAAAATAATATATTCGTTATAAATAACACATTTATTTATAAAGCCTATATAATTATAAATTAATTACATAAATAAATTAAATAAAAAAAGATTACTTTAATAAATTAACCCTTATATTTACTTAATTTTAACCTTATTAAAAACCTTTAAAAAATATTTAAAAATAAAATCTATTTTAAATATTCTAAACTATTATCAATACCCTTAAATACTACCTTATTAAATTTACTTATACATATAACATTAAAGGTATAAAATAAATTTAAAGAAAAAATATTAAATAAATTAACTTTAATTATGTCGAAAAGATTAACTACCGTTATTAAAGCAAAAAACTAATATATTAAATATTAATTAAATAATATATATATTATATTAAAACCTTATTTTTAAACTATTTATTCTTATTATTACTAAAAAATCAAATACAAATTAATTATATAATTAATTATTAAAATAAAAGGATAATAATATAATAAAAGGATAATAACGAGATAAAAAAACTTTTAACGTTTATTTTTTCGAATTATTATAATTCCTTACAAAATTACAAAATTAGTTCCATATTGTCAAATTAGTTAGCCATGTTAAGTGACTTGAAAATCCCTAGTCTTATGTAAAATAACGGTATAATATGCGTTTTTATAATTTTACCTTAATTAATTAAATCATTAAAAATATAATAAATTAAACCTTATATAACGTTTATTTAATATATATTAGTTGTATAATAATTAAAAGTCTTATATGTTTAAACTGTATAAGTTTTAAAGATAAAATTTTAATTAATGTTATATAATATAATATGTATGCGTTAAAATAAATTTTAAATAAATTATTATTTATCTATTTATTTTATTATAAATTTTATTATATTATTATTAAGTTTTAAATTTAAGTATTTTAACGATTAAAACGTATAAAGTGAAACGTTTATATTATTTATTTAAAATTATTAGTTTTAAGAGTGAATAAATCTTAATAACGTTAATATATACGAGGAACTTAAGGTTTAACTTAAGTTTTTTCCTTAAATATTTTAAATTTAAAATTATAAAAAACTATTTAATTTATTTAAATTTTATCCGGAAGTAATAACGAAGGTAAAAACTTTATTAAAAGGTTAATTGTTGGTAATATTAACCTTAAATAATTAACCTTTTCCTTTTTAAATAATGTAGGAGATAATTAAGGTTTTACGAAAGTTTTATTTAAAAGAATTAAACGTGTATATATGTATTAAAAATAAATATAATTAATAAAAAAAAATTATTAAGTTAAAATAATTAATTATTTAAATTGTATCGAAGTTTTATTTTAAAATTGTATAATAATTTAAATATATAATTTAAGATACGTATAATATTTTAAAAAGCTACCTAAGTATATATGTGTTAAAATATAAGATTTAAAATGATTATATAAGGGTTATGGTATTATTTATAAAGGTATTTAAAAGTTAAGAGGCTTGGATAATTAATTGGTTTATTATTTTTATTAAAATTAAATATTTAAAGTTAATTGTTGTTAAAGATTTCTAAAAATGGTTTTATATATTAGCGTTAGTTTTAAAACCTATATTAGTAAATTAAGTAATTATTTAAAATATTATTTTTTATAAAAAGATATATAATAAGATTTTAATATTTTAAAAAGTAGTTATGACGTTATAAAAATATATATAAGTTTTTAAAAATATTAAAAAAAAAGGAAAAATAGTTAAAAGCGTTTTCGGGTTGATTTATGGCATTGATGAAAGTGAAAATATTAATTAAAAAAGTAAATTTAATTGTTAAAAAAAATTATTATAACTTATAAAAACCTTTAAAAAGCGATAAAATAGTTTTAATAAGTATAAAAGGGTTAATATTAATTTAAATTAATTTTATAAATATTAAAACTATAGTTATAACGTTAAATATAAAGTTTATTAAGGTTTTTATAATGTTGAAAATTATTTTTATATATTTAAAAATAAAAAGCCTAAGTATTTTAAGCTTAAAAAAACAAATATTACTTTAATAAAACTAATTTTAAAAATTAATTCCAATTTAATAACTAAAATAAAAATCTTAAAAAAGGAAGCAAAGGCTTAAAAGGTAAAAAATAAGAATAATTAATTAAATAAATGTATAATTATTATGGAAAAAAGTGTGGCTTTTGTGATATTAATTTATATTATTGTCTTTAATGTTATTTAATATTTGTTAAAGAATTTAATAATATTAAATTTAAGGATTATTATTTATATATTTAATAAAATATTTTAATTTATTAATTTTAAAGTAATATTGTTAAATAATTATATTATAATAAGTAATAATAAAGTTAAAGTTATAGGTTATAAAAACGTAGATATTTATATTTAATATTTAAGAGAATTTATTAAGATAAAGTTAATAAATATAGCTTATTACAAGAATTTCGTTTATAATTTCGTATCTTTAAAATAATTATAAAGGTAAGATTATTAATAAAATATATGTAATAATTTTACTTATTTAAAATAATTAAATAATATTATTATAATTAAACTTATTAATTGTTATAATTAGTTTATATTTAAAGATATTTTTTATAAGGTTTTAAAGGTTATTTTTTATATTTATTACAACGCTTTAAATTTAAGGTTTATAAGAACTTTAAGTACTGTAATTGCCTTTTGTTAACATTTGAGATTAAGGTATTTAAAATCTTAAACCTTGGAATACTTAGTTAACGTTAATAAAAAGGTAAGAATTAAGGGATTTATAACGGTTAAATGTAAGGTATGTAGTATATCTAAGGTAAAACGTTAAGTAAGGTGTCAGATTAATCAGCCATATTAAATGACCTGAAAATCCCTAGTCTTATGTAAAATAACGGTGTAATATACGTTTTTACAATTTTACAAAAATTAATTAAATTATTAAAAATATAATGAATTAAACTTTATATAATATCTATTTAATATATATTAATTATGTAATAATTAAGAGTTTTATATGTTTAAATTATATAAGTTTTAAGAATAAAATCTTAATTGGTATTATATAATACAATATATATGCGTTAAAATAAATTTTAAATAAATTATTATTTATTTATTTATTTTATTATAGATTTTATTATATTATTATTAAATCTTAAATTTAAATATTTTAACGATTAAAACATATAAAATAAAACGTTTATATTACTTGCTTAAAACTATTAACTTTAAAAGTGGATAAATTTTAATAATGTTGATATATATAAAAAACTTAAAATTTAACTTAAGCCTTTTTTTTAAATATTTCGAATTTAAAATTATAAAAAATTATTTAATTTATTTAAATTCCATTTAAAAATAATAATAAAGGTAGGAATTTTATTAAAAAGTTAATTGTTGGTAATATCAATCCTAAATAATTAATTTTCTCTTCCTTAAATAATATAAGAAATAATTAAAGTTTTATAAAAATTTTATTTAAAAAAATTAAACGTATATATATATATTAAAAATAAATATAATTAATAAAAAAAAATTTATTAAATTAAAATAATTAATTATTTAAATTATATTAAAGTTTTATTTTAAAATTATATAACGATTTAAATATACAATTTAAAATATGTATAATATCTTAAAGAATCACTTAAATATATACGTATTAAAGTATAAAATTTGAGATAATTATATAAAAATTATAACACTATTTATAAAAGTATTTAAAAATTAAAAAACTTAAATAATTAATTAATTTACCATTTTTATTAAAATTAAACGCTTAAAATTAATTGCTGTTAAAAACCTTTAAAAATAGTTTTACGTATTAACGTTAACTTTAAAATTTATATTAATAAATTAAATAATTATTTAAAATATTATCTTTTATAAAAAAATATATAATAAAACCTTAATACCTTAAAAAATAATTATAACGTTATAAAAATATATATAAATTATTAAAAGTGTTAAAAAAAAAAGAAAAGTAGTTAAAAACACTTTCGAACCAATCTATAACACTAATAAAAATAAAAATATTAATTAAAAAAGTAAATCTAACCGCTAAAAAAAATTATTACAACCTATAAAAATCCTTAAAAAACGGTAAAATAACTTTAATAAACGTAAAAAAATTAATACTAACCTAAATTAACTTTATAAATATTGAAATTGCAATTATA